CCTGCGGCAAGTGCAGCCGGGCTGACGGCCGAGTGCTGTGATGTGCCGAGTGCGGGCACTCAGGGCACTCCAAGCCAGGACTGCTTTGCTGTCCCTCATCGAGGTAGACAAGCAAGCAGGGAACCCTGAGAACTGTCTGTCCGGGGTGGGGGTTGGGTTCCTTTAAGCACAGCCCCCGGTTAGCCTGAGACAGCAGCCCCACACTCTAAGTCCTAACCTGATGCCCTGCCGGCACTGCTTCCGGCAGCCTTAACTTCGGTTCAGGGTCCACTCAATGTGGACATGTTAGTTCGAATTAGCAAAATGCTAATTCGAACTAGTTTTTAGGTCTAGATGCACTAGTTCAAATTAGCTTAGTTCGAATTAACTAATTCGAATTAAGTTAGTTTGAATTAGTGCTGTAGTGTAGAGATACCCAGTGTCTGCCTCAATGGAGGGCAGAGCCACAGCCTCGGGGTAGTGAGTAATGAAATCCACCACCCCCAGGATGTGTTTCTTCTCAGGCTGGGTCGCCCTGATCAGAGACCCCACTAGCTCCATCACCACCTTCTGGAAAGGCTCCTCAACCATGGGCAGGAGCCTCAGGGCAGCTTTCTTATCTCGGGCTTTCCCCACCCTCTGGCAGGAGTCTCAAGCCCGGCAGGACCGCTGCACGGCCGCAAAGACCCCAGCCAGGAAAAGTTCTGAAGCAGCCTCCTCCTGGTGCTCTGGATCTCCTAGGGTACGTCTAGACTACATGACTCCATTGATGGAGCCATGTAGATTTGTTTGTTCGGCAAAGGGAAATGAAACCACGATTTAAATAATCGCGGCTTCATTTAAATTTAAATGGCTGCCCCGCTCTGCCGATCAGCTGTTTGTCGGCAGATCGGGGCAGTCTGGACACTCCCCTGTCGACATGAACGCCCTTTCTCGACCTCCCTGGTAAACCTCATCCTACGAGGCATAACGGGGAGGTCGATAAAGGGCTTTCAGGTCGGCGCGGGAGCGTCCAGACTAGCACGCTGAGCCGACAAACAGCTGATCAGCTGTTTGTCAGCTCAGCACGGCAGCCATTTAAATTTAAATGAAGCCGCGATTATTTAAATCGCGGCTACATTTCCCTCTGCCGATCAGCCTCATTTACATGGCTCCATCGATGGAGCCATGTAGTTTAGACACACCCCTAGTGTCCTGAGAATGGGACATCATAGTCCAGGTACAGAAGCCTGTGGCAGTACTTTTGGGGAACCACCAGCTACAGCTGGACCCCCCCACAGCACCCCTTGCCCTGGTGGGACCCATGACTGGCAAAGGAATCCCCTCTCCCTGGTCCCTCAGTTTCTGCAAGGAGAGATCGGTCTACAACTCAGCCTCAAATTCAGCGGCTGGGAAAGGGATGGGGACCTGTTCCCCCCCACAGCCTGTGTCTGGGGTCCCAGCCCTGCTACCCCTTTTCTCCTGGAGTAGGGCCCTGTGCCCCTGCAGGGTGCCCTCCCCTGTGTCAGGGCTGAGAGGCCTTCAGCAACTCCAGCTATGGATAATGACCAGGACACTGTGGGCTCTTTCCAACCTATCCTCTAGGTCCCTGCTCCTCAGCACCCCAGCAAACAGGTGCTGGAGAACCCCCACTTCCTTGGGACACTCCTTAGCCCCCCCATTTTAGATGCACTCAAGCCACAGGCACCTTGAATGGTGGGCCCGACAGTCTAGACAGCTTTCTATCCGCCTTACAGTCCATTTATCCAATGCAGATTCCCTTAAATTGCTGACAAGAATATTTGTGCATATTTTTGGTACAAGTGCAGCCACCTTTCACCCTGAAGTTATTGTGAGGTAGCGGGGCCTGAATTGGGACCATATTCACTGTTTGCCTTGTGGGGTTATATGATTCTGCTGTCCTATGCTGTTCTGTAATAACTCTATGTGGGTATGTCTACACTAGCCCCCTAGTTCGAACTAGAGAGGCTAATGTAGGCATTCCAACTTGCAGATGAAGCCCGGGATTTAAATATCCCAGGTTTCATTTGCCTGTTCCCAGGCGAGCACCATTTTTTAAATCCACACGGGGCAGTCAGAAGTTAATCCAAACTAAGTCCTTAGTTTGGATTAACTGTTACACCTCATTGCAGGAGGAGTAACAGTTATTCCGAACTAAGGACTTAGTTTGGATTAACTTCTGACTGCTGCGTGTGGCCACAGGCAGTCATTTCGAACTAAGGGGATTTAAAAATGGCGCCTGCCCCGGAACATGTAAATGAAACCTGGGATATTTAAATCCCGGGCTTCATCTGCAAGTTGGAATGCCTACATTAGCCTCTCTAGTTCGAACTAGGGGGCTAGTGTAGACATACCCGGTGTGTGTGTGCTTCAGGTTCCCTGGCCACGGCACATTATCCAGATGAGGAGGGGGAGGCTGGGCATGACTCCCTGGGGAGTATGTGCATCCTCTCAGTTCTGAGGGCCAGGTGCCAGCAGAGCACTTCTGGCCTGGGAAAGGGAACAAAGGGATAAGCTGGGTGGATTCCAGGCTGGGGACTAGGGCAGAACCCTGGGGGATGGGTCAGTCTCAGCTGGTTCAGGATGAGAGAGGGCGTACAGAGAAGAAGGGGGGAACAGAGCCAGAGCCTCTTCCCCCGAGAGGAATAGAACTGACAGCTCCTGGGTCCCAAGTGAACAACAATCCTGTGCTACACTGTGTCCTTGTGAACCAATAAACCCTCTGTTCTACCTGCTGGCTGACAGTCTTGTCTGGCTTTGGGTGGGGATACAGGGCTCGGTCACTCCCCCACACTCAGTGACAGTGGTGCTCGTGGTGGGATGAACTGCACCCTGGGGATGGAGCAGCCGGCTGTAAGTGACTGGGGCACAGTAGAAAGAAGGGGGCTTGCAAGAGCCAGGCGTGCTGGAGTCAGAGACAAGTGGTTCCAGGAAGTGGAGGGTCCTATGGTCTATCCAGAGTGTGATCTTTGAGAGGGAGTGTCACTCCAAGGAGGGGTTCCCTGTGGAACTAGTCCCAAGAGGCGGAGGGGCTTACGATCTAACCTCCGGCAGGTTGTGATACTCAAGCAACCTGGCACACTGAAGGGTTCTTCCCGGGAATCATGGGGCGCTGTAGCACGGGCCTGTGAGTCTGCACCCTTGGGAACAGTGGGAAGATGACTGATCCCCATCTTCTTAAGAAGGGCATGGTTGGATTGTGCAAGGAGAGAGGGCTGTCCATTGGGAAATTCACCAAGGCCCTTCTAATTGCTCATCTGATAGAGAATGGTTATTCCAGGGGGCCAGATTCTGTCCCGTCTTAGAGCAGACAGACAGCCACTGGGAGCACAGGGACCACCAGGAAATGCTGGGCCAACAGCAGTACATCCTGGGCAGGATCCTCGTGGTGGATTTGCGAGGGCTGGAGATCGCGGTACAGCTAAAGGAATTGGAGGACTGTAGGGAACAGTGGCAGCATGAGCGGGCCATGGTGGAGCTGAGAAAGAGGGAGACCTCGGCTCTGCTGAGTGGGGAAGAGCCAGGGGACCGGGGACTGCAGGTCACTTTCAGAGGTTCATTTATTCCCAATGTAAGGACGTTGGGACATGGATGGATTCCTTAGGTGCTTTGAGATACCCTGTGAGCTGTACCAGGTCACCGCAGCAGCCCGGCTCCGGCAGTGAGCAGGTAATGGACCCTCCCGTACAAATGCTACTCCCACCCTATCCCCTCACTGCATCCCTCGCCGTGCCAACACTAACTCCCCCCATACCAATGCTCCACGAGGAGTAATGGTAGTTCAGAATAGGAAGCCTAATCCGAACTACCTAGTTGGTGCCATGTGTAGCCGCGGGCACGGAGTCCGAACTAGCGGACATTTAAAAATGGCGGCGCCCGGCAACATGCAAACGAAGCCTGGGAAATTCAAATCCCGGGCTTCGTTTGCAACTCCGGTTGCCTACATTAACCACCCTAGTTCGAACTAGGGTGGTACTGTAGACATACCCTCAGAGATAATGATTAAATATAATCGAATTATAATCACAAAGTTTGTAATCAGTTAAGTGCAGTTTGGTTCAGTTTTCCCCTCCTGTAAAGGCACTAAGCAATTGCTTGTTTTAAAATACATTTAAAAGTCACTTGATTTTTGATAAGAGAACCATTCAGTTTAATAAAAAATCATTTGTTTCACCATCATCCAGTAGTGTTCACTGGGTAGTCGGCTTTAACCCCTGGGATCCCCAATCACATCACCGAACCAAGTTGCGACAGCCGATAAACTCCACTGCGGTTTCATGACTGTTCCTCCAGTGTTGGTTACAGGGAATCCTCTCTCTTCCGCACGCCCCTATCTTATCAAGCCAGAGGCCCTGACAGTCAAGGAGTTGAGAAAGAGAGTAGTTGTAAAAGAAATGCATTCAACATGTAATTCGCCTCTCTGGCCTGGTAAAAAGCCACGTGGATCATGGAGGCTCACTATTGATTATCGACTTATTAACCTGCATGCTGACTCCCCCTAGTTGCTGACCCTACTCCTATTCTTTCTACTGTAGCTAGTGATCACGCAGCGTTTTCGGCTTTGGATATTAGCAATGGCTTCTGGTCCGTTCCAGTGCACCGTGACAGTCCATTCCGGTTTGCATGTACCAGCAAAGGGAAGCAATGCACCTTTACTCGCCTGAACCAGGGTTTTCATAACTCACCTACTTTCTTTCATAGAGCGTTAGCTGATGTGCTGGCAGAGCTGCCAGACACGGCTTCTTGTGTTGCACAGTATGTTGACGATCTTCTCATCTCCTCACCACATGGCCAAGCGCACATGAAGAACTTAGGAGGGATCCTGCAGCGCTCCGCAGACAGCGGGGCAAAAAGTAATGCTAGAAAGGCCAAGCTCACAAAAGAGACAGTATCGTACCTGCGGATTCACTAATCCACATGTTCAGAAGTTTCTTTTCTCTCAGCTTTCAGAAATACCATTGAGGATCTCTCTTTTACCTCCAAATGAGTGGTGCTCAGTCTCTTCCATATCACACACCCTCATGTTACAAAAAATGTTTCAGGACCCTCCTCCCATCTAATCATAAAGAAAGGGTGGGTATGAACTCAGGCTCAGGATACAGAGTCAGAACCCAGGGCAGCTGGAGCTGGGGAAAAAATTTCACTTCTCTCCCTCTGGGCCCTCACAAGCCTTCTTACTTGGATGCCAATAGCAATTCCACATCAATACACATGAGTTATTTTTATAGGGATGACCAGCCTACCAACTAAAGGGTTGAGCCTTCCAAAATTGTGGACAGGAGAGCCTAAATATTGGAGAGTGTTAAATGATTGAGTTAAAATGGGGCAAATAATGGATATTTTAGTTTGCTGGAAATTCCAAAAAGTCAGGAAAAAAATGTTGGGTTAAACCTAAAATTAACTTGGAGGGCTTTGGTAAATTGAAAAGTCAAAAAATGTTTCAGATTGACCTGTAATTAAGCATTTTGTTTTGATTTTGAGCATTTAAAACACAATTAAAGGAAATTTTGAAACAGAGTACAGTAATTTGAAATCAAGTTGTCAGTGTTTTACAAAGGAAATAAAGATAGAAAATGGTAATAATGGTACCAAGTGACAGCTTAATCTTTAAAGAGCTCTAAGTCTATGTGTACACTTAAGACAAAGGACACATCCAGGTACAATTTTTACCCCCTTCTGTGCCTCTCGACTCTAGCATATCAGGCCAGGGCCGGTCCCTCAATTCCTAGGAAAGACGAATA